TAGCAATTAGATTACCATCATTAAATTAGAAGATATCTTCAAATATATCATTTTATTTCTATAAATTACATTACAAGATTATTTATTTGATATGACTGGAAAGAAATTCAAACCAATTCTCCTTCATCATTCGGAAACCGAGTGATGCATTCATCATAAAATCCATAAATTAATGTTGTGTTAGCATCTTCATGATTTCCCCGTAACATATACACTCGTGTAGGATATTTTATTTTAAAACACATTAACATTGTTACTGTTTCAATGCCCTAAAATTATAATATATATCATTTAATCAAATTATGGAAGAAATCTGCAACTTTTTTTTACCAATTTGTTGCTTTTGTATTCGATAATAGAACTTAGAATTTTTAAAACTAAAACAAATACGATAAATGAAGCAATATCGAATTAAAAATGAAATTTATTTAAATGTCAAATATCTAAAAATTAATGGCTAGAAATAATTAACACGTAAAGGATTGTCGCCGTTTATTAGATGACATTGGAAAAAATGTAATCAGGGTATTTGATAGAACCTGAGATCCACGATCAACATAATCGCCAAGAAAAAGATAAGTTTGTGATGATGGATTACCACATGTGCTCAAAATACATCGGACATCTCGGAATTGTCCGTGAGTATCAGCGCATATCGTTATTGGAAGCATTTCACTAAAAAGCTGTCAAATTTTCAGGAATATTTACAGAACATCCTATCATCTCTTACAGATTACTGCGACAATAACAGCAAATAAAATGGTAAAACAATGTTGTGAAAACAATAAAGCGATTTATTTTGAAAATAAAAATAGCAACTGCAACAAAAATCAAATGAAGCAATTAATTTTGAGAGAGAAATGTAAGATAAAAATGGATACAATACATTCCGATACGAAGTAACGATTTCTGTTTTGCGAATGAATTTATAGCGAGATCACACAGTTGTCGAAGTTCATCAAATTTCAAATCCACAGCATGAATTGGTGCTGGCTCTAATGTTACTCTACAATTATTGCTTAAAGCATTTGTGTATGGAATGAATTTGCAACTGGCAGTTTCTAGCGAAATAAAATTTTTTATTTAACTACGGAGATATTTGCATTAGTTTGGGATTTTTTTTACTTTTCAAAAAAATATCCAGAACTAGCAAAGTTTTAAGTTCAGATTTTATTTAGATAAATGGATAAAATTCGAACTTCGTTTCAGCATTTTTGTCATTATTGGCATTATTGACATTTGTGTCAGTTCGTAATTGAGCACGCATAAATCGATCTAGTAAATCGTTTACTAAAGGATGATTGTAAATTACAGAAGGTACTTCATCCTCTGAATCGTCATCATCACCATTATCATCCTCCGAACTTAACGAATCGCTGGTTTCCGCTGAAGCTGCAGCAGCTAATTCATCATCTGAATCCTCATCCATTTCTGAATCTTTTGAATTGCGATTTTCCGATGAAGATTGAGCGGATATTTGACGTTTCTTTGATCGTAATTCACCATGACCCATTTGCAGCATCTCAATTATTCACACTCTTTTATTTATTTCAGCTTTTTTTTGCAAATGTCTTTCTTTAAAATGTGTAAACGAGCTGAATTTATTTTATGTTTCTACACAAGCATGCTGTAGCTCTGAATTTTTGTCGAATTATATTCTATTATTATTAAGCTCGAAATAGTCTTGCTTTGCTATCTTATAGTAAATAAAATTAGTTTTCGGTAATTCGTTGGACAAGCGTGAACTTTCAAATATTAAATTACATTCTCCAATATATTACTAATATTGTAGTTGTTATCATGAAAATGGTTACTTAATAAATTAATTTGAAAAGTCGTTTCTATAAGATACAAATGTGGGAAATATAAGA